CATGTCCTTTCCCCTTTGCCTTTCTGATCGCTTGAAGTCGGCGCTCCTCCTCTGAAAGTACTTCTTCCGACGGTTGAACAGCAACAATACCAGCATTGACACCACTAGCTTCATGAGAAGCTGACCCACCCAGCAGATCAGAAATCGTCTTTGAAGGAGGATTTTTGTGGGCCTCACCAGCACCGAGATTAGGATCATTACCTCCATCTTCGTCATTATCATCTCCATCAGATTCTGAGAAGGGGTCTTCACCTGGCATCTGAAGAGGACACTCCTTTTTCTCATGGGTGAGCATTCCACATCTTTTGCAGAAGTTTCGAAGTCGCTCATACTTGAAACAGATCACCGTGTTCACACCGGCTTCAAACTGGAAATTCCTTTGGAAACGCAGAGGATTATCTACATTCCAGAGCACACGAACAAGAACAAAATCTACTCGGGTGGAAGATTCATCGAAATCCACTGCAACAACCTGCCCAAAAAGATCTCCGATAAATGCAATGGTGGGCCTGGAAAGGAATTGGAGTGGTATTCCCCTGATCTGGATCCAGAAGGGAATCACTTTACTAGCGTCGTCAGGGAGATTTGGAGACCAACGGTGAACCGTCACCATCCAATCAGCGAAAGACCAGGGGGTACGACGTAGTACGAGATTCATGGTTTCCTCGGACTGAAACATGAACTGGATCTGGTTTTGGCCAATCATACGCCCAGTAGTTGCTGAATCTAGCCCCCAGACTCGCGGCATCTGCGAAATCATAGTCCTCAAATTTTGTTTCCTCGGGTTAAGAGGAACCACCACCAGAGAAAACTGGTTATTTGCCACCGCATGATTGATGATTTCCGATGGAAGAGCAACCGGTTCATCAGTAATACCGAGATTGATGTTTTGCATTCTTTGGCGAAGGCTTTCACTCATTTTCTGGGAAATTTGGAAGATTTGTGGGAAGGAAGTAGTGTGGGATTGAGAGACACACCCGGATTGAAATTTATAGAGTGGCTACGGCGGTTTCCAATCGTGTGCAATGATGCACGATGAGAGATGAAAACCGCGAGAGAACGTGTTCCATTCATCCGAATCAGAGAACGTGGACCGCGGGAAGAAACCGGCACGATGTCGCCGAAAAGAAAGCAGAGACGTGGCCGGACAATCACTTCCGATGAGCGAAAAGTAACCGTTACGAATCGCCCTCAGAGACATTTTGTATAAGGTTGTCTTATAAATATGAAAATCATATAAACGCACCAATGTTTTTCTTAACCAACCAATCAGTTAAGACACAAATAGCAAATAGACTCTTCCCTACAGGACTTTTGCAATTCCCTTCTATCTCGTAAGCCAAGTCATCATGTGCAACACAGTTAAGAGTACAATTCCTACACATTATAATTATTATGATTATATTGTATCTCAAATAATGATATAAAAACATGAAACCATTATATTACTTACTCCAGATCTTTAATTCGGAATCTCAGTGTTGGAACACTTTTGTCATCGGGATAAACAACTGTTACCATATTTTTGACATGATCCAGAACACCAATGAAATCTGGATTACAAAATATTGTAGTACAACAACTGATCAATATTACACAATCAATCATACAATACTATAATCGATAACACTAACATAGTTAAATACATAATTAATAAAGATAAATGTTAATACTTACCAACTGGGTAGAAGTGGCTGTAAGGCTTATTGTAAACACGGCTGAAATCAACAAAATGAAGGAAAGGATCTCCAGTCAAAGGTCGGATGGAACTGACCTTAGTTTCACCATCTAAAATTATTTGCTTAACGTGTCTTGTAGTCTGTTCTTCCCACTTAGAAGGAATTAGTTTGAAATTGGATAACTACACCCAATTTCCTTCTTGCAAAACGTATTCGAAATATGATAGATTGAGGTTACCAACATAGGCAGAAATTCTGCAACCCTGTTAGGGTAATTGATATAAAACATTAGTAGCAAAACGATATGAAGTACTAATAATATAAAACATTGATAGAGATGAGTATCAAACTTACATTCTCATCAACCAATATGAAATTCATCACACGAAAACTGTCGGCATCAAAGGCCCCCCATCTCTTTAAAATCTTCACCTTAATTGTCAAACCATCCTCCCAAGATTGTAACTCATGCACCATTTGGTATTCACGCATTTTGTTTGAGTTTCCGATTAAAGATGAATAAAATGGTTTGCAGCAAAGGTTTATATAGGAGTATGTTAGTAAATTAAGGTTATGACGTCCCAAAATTATTTGCGTATATACGAAGAATTGTAAAAAAATTTGCAACAGTCAGTGATTTTTGGAATATGTATCTTGTTAGTTATATCTTAGATGGCATAAATAACGATTATCTATATTGTTTAAGAATATTTCCATAGTTTGGTTGAAGTTGTTACGATACATTTAACAGATTATAGAATTAAATATTAACGTATATTTTGTGCAACTTTAAATAAGAAATATGACAAATATATGGAAGTCGTATTCGTAATTTAAAAAAAAAATGATTTGTTTCGTTCTCCTTGCATATATGTGTTATCTCGCGTAACTAAGGAAAGATGATTATAGAATATGCAATCAAATATTAACAATGATTAATTTAAGGAATGCTGAACCCTAAACATAAAGTTTCTAATAATATTACTATCATATCTAAATTCTTCCGGAAATCTAGTCATTATATTTTCCAAATCCTGAATTATAAGGAGACAAAGGAATGGAGATATAGCAGTAGACAAATAGGACAAATATCTCTATTAATTATTTAGCAAAATAATTTAATATAAATCCATTATTAACTAACTTATTAATTATTTTTTGTGGTTACATCGTTATTACTAAAATTAAATTAAATACAAAGTTGTTAATAAAGTAAATTTATAAATGAACGATTGTATTCAATTTATAAGATCATTTAGTTCGCATAAATTGTAATCTTTTGCAAATTATAATAATTATGATAACATAAAATATATTTAAGATAGTTAAAATAAAAAAGGTAATTGTTCAGAGTGTAACTTCAAAGAAATCCGAGAAATTAAACATAAGTCTTAACATTCGACAAAGAAGGAGGACATCACTCCTTTTGATTACTGACATGAAATTAAAGATAGTTAAAAAAGAGAAGTTCAGGATTTGATGAAATCAAATTACACATCTCTTGTTCCAGAAGATGAAGGACTATAGGCCGAATCCCTTAGCTTTTGCCAAATCTTGAACAAATACATAAAATAAAAATAAGTAAGGATAACTAAAATAAATTTAAAATTGAAAATGTGATTATTAAGGTAAGGAAAAATATTACTTGGCACGGAGATCGTTTACTTCATCAATATCTGGATGAACCAAGAAACATGAGAGCTTCCCTTCTTCAAAATCAGTGATCTTAATTTCATCTATCTAAAAAAGGAAATTATAAGGAATAAAACAATTTGATTAAAAAATAAATTATCAAAGCAAAAATAAATACATAATGGCTATACATAATGGCTACTTACTCTCATTTTTCTTAACAACCCAATCAGTCAATACACATATGGGATATAGTCCTTTAAGTAATTCGCAGTTTGATTTATCCTTGATATCATAAGCCAAATCACCATGTGCGACACAGTTCATTGTGTTACCCCTAGAGATAAAGAAAAATTCTTACTAAATAGAAATTTCTATAATCATAAAATCAAATAAAAAATAGTAGAAGGCATTACTCTATATTGCTGATACGAAAATGTAGGGTTGGAAGACTGTTCTCATCATTGAAATTGAATTCAACATTGCCAATCTCCTTATCAAAAATACCCATCAAATCTGAATAAAAACCCAATAATCAATGCATATCTATATAACATAACTTTATTTTATTTTGTTGTGAATCCTCTATACATTAAACAGGAAGAATTTGGAGGCCATTTTGCTGAGGTGTCACTCCCACAATTTTTCTCAGCATTTTCCATTTAAATAATTCATTATATTCCACCTATGATTATTTCCTTATTTATATCCCTCCACCAATTAGAATTTAATTTATTATTTACTAATTTTTTTATTCGTTTTCCTTATTTAGCTCAACTGACTTCTTTTAAAATTTTTGATTTATACATACATAATTTTCATCTCATCTACCTTATTTTCAACACAAAACAACTATATACTAATTTAAATTGTCAAAGCAATCGATTGATTAACAAAATTTAAATTTAAATTATTACTATCTTTATTTTCTTATTTTTATGCAAAATTTATATTCACATTCCTATCATAAACATTCTGAGAAGTACAAATTTTATTATTCTACATAATTACTATTATACAAATGAGGTATGTATTTATAGAAATGATGATTATAATTATATTCAGTCCAATATACATGAGCCCATATTTGCGCTTCATAAATTTCAAATCTTATTTACAATATTTTTTATATTAATGTGTCAATATACGTGATCCCATAATCTCGGTTATACGTGATCTCATAATCTCGGTTCATTTAATTTAAAAAATTAATTACCGTAATAATGAAGAAATCATAACTTCACCTTAAATTTTCCTCCGAATTTCTCGAAACAATTATATGGTTAAGCATAAATGGAATCAATGTATGCATATTCCTAATTTATCAGTTCATAATTATATTACCTTCCTATATTTTAGATGCACTGTACCTACCTAAATCAAAATATTCCGTATTTCCGTATATGTAGGAGTAATTAAACAAAATAGACCCTTTATGGAAAATGAGCAATATTGCAATTTAAAATATATCAAAATTGCCTAAATCTAACATATTTCAACGTCATTTCAAATTCAAATTCATAATTGACCGCCTACAATATTTTCCCTCTTCTAAAGATTGTATCGAAGATTTACCCTAGACTCACCACATTCGTCATTTCGCTATATATAGTTACCACTGTTGATATCGAATTCATCACACCAGCTAAGCAATATTTAGCTTACATACTCCCTCTTGCAAAGTTTGCGATGTCGACCTTCACATCCCTCACTGCCTTAAAGCCATTCAAAACTCAATGGAGGATCCGTGTCAAGATACTGAAGTTGTGGAAACTGTATTTGAATGGGATCGAGACGATGGAGATGGTCGTTGTCGATGAACTGGTATTGTTTTGTACTTTGTTTGTCTGATATTCATACTGTTCCATTTTGATCATATATATATTATTTAACGTTTTGCTTATTATTATATTGCCATGCAGAATCAAACTATGCATGTTAGTATGAAGAAGCAGTTCATAAAAAAATTTGAAAATCTTCTAGAGGAAGGAACTACTAAGATCATCACTAATTTTCAAGTCACTCACAACGGTGGTAAGTTCAGGACTACTTCTCATGTTTACAAGATCCAGTTTGCTGCCACGACGTCTGTCAGACCTTCTGAAGATCTGGATGCCACAATTCTTGGGTTGAAGTTGGTGAACTTCGCTGATATTCACGAGGGCAAGTTGAATCCTGATTTTCTAATAGGTAAAGTGTATATTTATATCTCGCATACATTACTAATATGAACCAAAGCATATTACATCTAATTATTGGTTTATGTTTTTATTTTACAGATATAGTTGGACAAATTGTTAGTATTGGTGAGGCTGAGATTCTCAACGTTAACAAAAAACAGACCAAACGTCTAACAATGACACTTCGTGACACCAGGTTTTTTAATTCCCTTTGACACCTAAATATTGTTAATAAGACGTCTAATATATTTTTTGTCTTTTAGTGATGTGCGCCTGAATTGTGTTCTCTGGGGGAATTATGCCGAAAGTTTGGAGAGTGTTGCTACACATGCAACTAATGCTACCATTTTTTTCGTGTTAAGATTTGGAAAGTTAAGATTGTATCAAGGTACGAAACAAATGTTTTTGTTAACAAACAAAATATCGTTTTTTAAAAATATATATAACTTTCAAGACATTTCATTATTTAGGTGTATGAAGTATTGGCAATTGTTACAGTTCTTCCATTTTGATGACAGATCCTGATCTCCCTGAAATAAATCCTTTTAGAAACCGGTATATTCATATCTATAACTTTTATCAATTTTCCATTTAGTTTACTTTCATGTCACTAAAATCCAAGATTTTTTTTTTCCTTTACAGCTTACCAAAAGATGATGTGACTTTTTCATACACACACCCTAACCAATTGACCATTGTCAATTCTGTTTCTATAAGAGATGACTTCTTTTTACATACCCCTCGCCGGACAATAAGTGAAATATTTGGGGCATCTGAGGTATTTATTTTGCGTGATATACATATTTCTTAAACAACAAATGACGATTGGGTTTTTTAAAAGAAAGTAATGCTTCAATTATTATGTTGAAAAATGTGTGACTATGGCTACCATCATGTCTATTGACACTGAGTTTGGATGGTACTATATGTCATGCAAAGTGTGCTCTAAAAAAGTGCTTCCTCTTGATATGGATTTGTTGAAAGAGCAATATCCTGGTAGGCCATTTCCTAAACAGTTATGGAAATGTGGCAAATGTAAGGATGATGTTGAAAGTGTCATACCAGCGTAAGTCTTGGATGCAATTTGTAGAGAAAAAATAATATTTGTAATTTCCATATATATTCATATTCATATGTTGTTCTATGCTAACATAGGTTTATGCTGACTTTCTGTGTTACTCTTTGATAAGCTTGCCATGGAAGTTGTAAATCAAACAGCTGTACAATTGACTGAATCTGTGGAAGAGGTAGTTATGCAGATTACTATCAACTCTATTATAGTGAATCTTACTATATATATTAGAAAACTTATATGTTTGCTAAACTGCTTGCAGACCAAGATCCAGATGTACTCCCTCTTCCAATTAGTAACATTTGTGGGAAAACTTTTCTGTTCAAGCTATCTATTGAAAGTTCAAACATCGTTTTCAACAGTGATGTTTATAAAGTTACAAAGATTGTGACCCAAAGTGACATGGTCAAAGAATTCTCAAAAATATCCGGATTTTTGGTTTGATCCCTAAACTATTTATTCCTATTAGTATTTATTCATATTTCATTGCCTTTTGATCATTGTTAACTTATTGTTTTATTTATAGACTACCCCTGATGTCAAGTCTGAGAAAATGGGGTTTATAACTCCCGATGAACAGGTTTGCTATTTAGGAATTAGATGCCTCTCATTAATATTATACGACTGTGCATAAACGTATTTGTTAGAATTTGTCATTTTAGGTACATTAGACCAAGGTAGGTACAGTGCATCTAAAATATATCGAAAATATAGGGATTGTTTAGACTATCCAAACAATGATTTGTAAGTTGGTTATATAATTTCAGATTGATACGGTTACGATAATATAGGAAAGTAATATAATTATGAACTGATAAATTTGGAATATGCATACATTGATTCCATTTATGCTTAACCATATAATTGTGTCGAGAAATTCGGAGAAAAGTTTAAGGTGGAGTTATGATTTCTTCATTATTACGGTAATTAATTTTTTAAATTAAATGAACCGAGATTATGGGATCACGTATAACCGAGATTATGGGATCACGTATACTGACACATTAATATAAATAATATTGTAAATAAGATTTGAAATTTATGAAGCACAAATATGGGCTCATGTATATTGGACTGAATATAATTATAATCCTCATTTGTATAAATACATACCTCATTTGTATAATAGTAATTATATAGAATAATAAAATTTGTACTTCTCAGAATGTTGAGAAATGTGAATATAAATTTTGCATAAAAATAAGAAAATAAAGATAGTAATAATTTGAATTTAAATTTTGTTAATCAATCGATTGCTTTGACAATTTAAATTAGTATATAGTTGTTTTGTGTTGAAAATACGGTAGATGAGATGAAAATTATGCATGTATAAATCAAAAATTTTAAAAGAAATCAATTGAGCTAAATAAAGAAAATGAATAAAAAATTGGTAAATAAAAAATTAAATTTTAATTGGCGAAAAGATGTAAATAAGGAAATAATTATATGTAAAATATAATGAATTATTTAAATGAAAAATGTTGAAGAAAATTGTGGGAGCAACACGTAGCAAAATGGTCTCCAAATTTTTTCCTCAATAAAGTATAGAGGATTTTGGAACCGTAAGCGGCGGGGGAACTTTAGACGCTACCTCTTCCGATCAATATCGATCAAATTCGCCGTTCCTTCTCTTCTTCTACTCAAACCCTAACTTATCCTTTCGACGACTTACTTACTTTGATCCGATGGAGATGTAAGTCCGATTGGATCTCGTACCATAAGCATAAGCTTCCTGATTGATATTCAACGGAAAACGAAATTTCCTGATTCCGATGATCGTCGGAACTTTTTTTCCAGGTCACAGGAGGAGAAAGCTATGGAAGCCATAAAAGACGCTTTGAGAGCTCTGAGGAAGCGTCATCTTCTCGAAGAAGGAGCTCATGGTCCCGCGATTTCTGCTCTCTCTAGACCTTTTATCTCTCAGGTACCTTGTTTTATTTCTCCATTGATTCATTTTTGAGCAATTCGACCTTTTAGCTTAGAATCTTTATCGGTCTCTCCGATATTGAAACGCTTGTAAAAACATTGAAAGATTAAGGTTTTTGTATATGATTTGCACTATGGAATGTTATGTTTCTTAGTAGTTGGAAGTATGGAGGTTCTTGTTTTAATCTCTGTGGAATCCTACTGGGCGTTTTCATTGGATTTCTTAATCAAAAAATTTGTAGCTCTCTCAATGTTTATCTTTCCGACTTAACCTTTCCAGGTTTAGTAGTTCTTGTTCGTAGAAGCTAATGCTGTTCCTTTTTTCATATAGCGAAACCTCTGTTTGTTATGGATGAAACATTGATCACTTTTTTCCGTTCTTTAAAACTATTCTTCTGTTTTGATTATGTTGTTATACTGTTGCGTAGTTTAGTTTTATTCATGCTTGCTTCAGATTAAACAGTACGGTTCAGAGTTCCTATTGAGTTCTTTTGTTTTGTTCAGCATCTCAGTAGATTTAGTTCAGAGTTTCTACGCTTTAAGCCCTGGAGAATATTCAAGCATGTCCTGATTTGGATTGTTTAAATTCATGCAGGGGTCAGAATGGAAAGAGAAAACCGAAAAACTGGAAATAGAACTACAGCAATGTTACAAAGCGCAATCAAGATTGTCTGAACAACTCGTGATAGAAGTAGCTGAATCAAGACTTTCAAAGGCTGCTTTACAAGAGAAGGAGGTGTTAGTTAATGACCTGCAGAATGAACTAACCCAAACAAGGTCAGAATGTTTTCTGAAGTGACTTTAATGATTTAATATGTGGTGCGGTTCTTAAAACTAGAGTTGAACTATAGGGAGGAGTTGACACAGTTACAAGAAGAGTTTGAGGAAAAGACCAAGACGCTGGATTTACTTATTGCTGAAAACAAGGAAGTCCGGTCTCAGCTGGAGGAGATGACTGCTAGAGCGCAAAAAGCAGAGTCTGAGAATAAGATGTTAATTGATCGGTGGATGTTGCAGAAGATGCAGGATGCAGAACGTTTAAATGAGGTACTTGGGGACTATATTTCACAATAGTCTATAATATGATTGATTATTCTTCTCCTTTCTTCGATTTGGTTAGGTTGGGATTAATTTTTTTTTCTTACTTAGGCAAATGCTCTATATGAAGAAATGCTAGCTAAGCTTAGGGCCAATGGTTTGGAAAATCTTGCTCGGCAGCAAGTTGATGGCATTGTCCGGCGCAATGAAGATGGAACAGATCACTTTGTTGAGTCAATTATTCCGTCAACATGTGGACACCGTATCCACGCTCACGAAGGTGGCTGTGGTTCAATACTCTTCGAGTACAACTCTGGTACTCTGTTTACCGGTGGGCAAGACCGAGCAGTCAAAATGTGGGACACCAACAGTGGGTCTTTAATCAAAAGCCTACACGGCTCACTTGGAAATATACTTGATCTAGCCATAACTCACGACAACAAATCCCTGATCGCAGCAACCAGCTCGAACAATCTGTTTGTGTGGGATGTTAACTCGGGTAGGGTTCGTCATACTCTCACAGGTCACACAGATAAAGTTTGTGCTGTGGATGTGAGCAAATTCTCTAGCCGACATGTTGTCAGTGCAGCTTATGACCGAACCATAAAACTCTGGGATTTGCTGAAAGGTTACTGCACTAACACCGTGCTCTTCACCAGTAACTGCAACGCAATCTGTCTCAGCATAGACGGGCTTACAGTATTCTCAGGCCACATGGATGGGAATCTTAGGTTATGGGATATTCAAACTGGGAAACTCCTGTCTGAAGTAGCTGGACATTCTTCCGCTGTGACCTCGGTATCATTGTCTCGTAATGGAAATAGGATCTTGACGAGCGGGAGAGACAACGTGCATAACGTATTCGATACTCGGACTTTGGAAATATGTGGGACATTGAGAGCATCAGGGAACAGATTGGCATCGAATTGGAGCCGGTCTTGTATAAGTCCGGATGATGATTACGTGGCTGCGGGATCTGCAGATGGGACGGTCCATGTATGGTCTATATCTAAGGGCAATATAGTGAGCACTCTCAAGGAGCAAACATCTCCTATACTGTGTTGTTCTTGGAGTGGGATCGGGAAACCATTGGCATCAGCTGATAAAAACGGGTATGTTTGCACATGGACATGATTGTTAAAACTGTTATAACACTGGTTTGATTACTCAGTACGTCTGTGTTTTCAAAAAAGATGGACGTGTGTATATACTCTTGTCTCGTCGTGTTCTTTCCCTCAGAGGAAATTGCTTTTGATAAAATGTTTCCGTATATAATTGTCTTTTTAAGTTCGTTTGAGTGTATTTGCTCAATTCAGCATCTGATGCGTTTGAGCTTAAACGCGTTTGAGCCTAATGCCTAACTAGTGTTCTTTTAGCAAACTCGCTGTACAACAACAGCCGCAAACCACTGAATCGCCGGATCTGCTCCTATACACTACCAACGCCGAATATATTTGATTTCTCTTCTCCGAAATTATCTATCAGAAAGCTCATTAAATACTCAAACTCAACGTGGTCATTTGAGTTCTTTAGGGTTAATAGAAGACAGATTTCAACTACTTTTTAAGCATGAGACCAAAACTATGAAAAATATTAAACAAAACATAATAAAGTTTGCAAGTAGAATTTAAAAACAGAATTTAACAATATATATCCCGCCGTGTCCATACACAAGGGGGTGTTATTGGAGAGTTGATTTATAAAGATTTTTAGAGTTTAAGATTCTATAGTTATTGGTTTGTGGATTTTTACATTCTTAATAGATTCATCTGTTATTCATTTAGAGATTATAAAAATCAGATATGATGATTTTTATAATCTAATCAAAATCCATTGTTATTCAAAAAGTCTGCATTTTAATGATTCTATGATTCCGTTATAATCTAGTGTTATTGGCATAATGATTCTTTGTAATTTAATTCATAAATCATGATTCTCAAAATACTATTTATATCCCTTGGATTCTCAAAATCTGTCATATTAAAAAATTCTTAATAGATTGTTTAAATCCATAAAACTCTCTCTAAATTTTACAAATCCAACAAAACTCTTAAAAATTTGACAAATTTCATGATTTTTAAAATCAACTAAAATCTTCATAAATCCAACTCCCAATAACCTCCCAAAATTTCGTAACGCTTTTATTTTCTGTCTAATCAATATTCCAATGCTTTTGCATGCAGAATATAACGACCATTATTATGATAAGGCCATAAGGGGGTAAAACAAACCAAAAAAAAAAAAACTAACAAGAGGAAAACACAAAGATATTTAAAACATGATTAGCTAATAATAATGCATTGTTCAAATAGTATCTAGAAAAAAATGAAAATCATCACAAGAAAACCCAAGAAAAGAAAACACAAGTAGTTGATTGAGAGCCAAAGTAGCTCTATGCTATGAAATTGAGATTCTTGACATGGTTTACGAAGGTCTGAACGCTATAACCTTTTGACTCTTCAATTCCTTGGATTTCAACCTTTTAAACAGTGTTTGTCTCAGGGCTGAAATAGAAAACATAGAATGGGTTGGATGTGTATTTCATTGACAAAACAATTTCGCCTGTACCAATTATTCCAACCACAGAAATATCAACACCGAAAGGAAGCGATAAATGGTAGACATGTTTTGACCAGTCTGGTTTCTTGCAATCCTTTAGAACCCACAAATACAACCCAAATTTTTTGACACTTCGACTACCTAAATC